GTATTGCATATGCGCGTCTGTCACGCGGTTTTTTACCGCGATTCGCGGTAAAAAAGTTGCGCGACAAAGGCGCGTTTCCAAAGGCTACTTGGCTGTATCCCAATGGAAACGCGCAACAAAACGGCCCAAAGTAGTACATGTACCTTTTCAGGCATGGGCCGTTTTGTAGCGCGTTAGGGACGGGCGGAAATACGCCAAGGTGGGAACGAGACCATTGAATACAATGGGATTTATATTTTTGAGCGTTTTGTAGAGCGTTCGTCGAGCGTAGAACGCGCTACAAAACGCTCAGGTGTGAACGAGGGCTAACATGTATTTATTTCCTATGAGCCTCCTCTCCATCTAGTGGCCATAATGCAAGATTTTCCCCATTCATTCTGATTTTTATGAATAAAATTATTGAACATTTGACCAGAAGAGAAATTACACTAAGAATATTGATTTTTGACCAGTCTCCCAACAGCTGGTTGACTCGCAGAGAACAAATGTAAAGGGTAGATGATCGTTTGGAGTCTGCATCATCAAAAACAAGTAAAGACAGGTTCTCTTTGTAGTTGGTTGCTCGTTTATTTCTCAGAGAACAAAGTTATGGTGCTGGGCATTTTTAGAAGTATGTTCCCTGTAAGTTCCTAGCTTTTATTTATAGGTAATGCCTCTGCCCAGCTAAGTGGCAGCAGTTGGTTGAGGGACCACCCGTGGTCCACAGCAGGTGGTTGAGAAACACTGATGGAGCATATTAAAAATAGCATCAGAGGCATGAGAACCTTTTTGTCTAGAAACGTTCTTCAACTAGGAAAACTATACAAAGCTAAACACTATCTTTCCACTTAAATAAAGCAAGAAACACTGTTAAACTTTTCTACATGTTGAAAGTCACTGCTGAACATGTGAAGATGCTAGTCCATCTGGAAAACTTATTTTGGTTATGAATGCATGCCAGAGGACATTTACTTCTGCCTAGATTTCTCCTCAGAGCACTTACTTGCTGAAGATGATTTTAGCCTGAAAAAAGAAAACTAATGCAGCCACCACATCTAGGGGCTGGTGAGCTGGAATATGTTACATCTTTGTTCTAGGGTTTAAAAAAGCCTTTAAAATGTCTGTAAATTTGATATCTATAATATACTATAGCAATCCATGGCTACCGGCTGTTGTGGATATGCATGAATCTTCCGAGGGGCCACAGGTTGCCTTGTTTCGAGTTGGTAAACTTTTGAACGGCATGTGGGTGGCAGCTGTCAGTGTGACTTACACATCCTTAGTGTTTTGGTGCCTCCATATCTTTGTTTTTTTCCCTCTTATCAGACTTCAACATACATGCTGCTTTTAAAATGTGCTGTAAACAATGTTGCAATCTTGGTCGGCTGGCAGTGACGCATAGTAAACTGTATCTGTCTGCAGGTTCAGGCTTGGCGTACTCTGCCTAAGAACAGCTAAGCACCTACATCCTTCTCTTCCATTGAAAGACGATGGTCCTATACATTGCTGCACTCTAGACAGGGGAGAGATGGTGGTTGTTGCTTTTCATGTAATATTATAGAAATGTTATGATAATTTTATAAATGTAATATAGAGAGAGATGACTTAAAGGAGAACTAATGGGGGTAAGGCTTTTCCCCATAGTTCACCTTGGGGTAACGGGAGGACACAAACTAGTGTCCTCCCGTCACCCTAGGCTCAGTATACCGCGAGCTGTAACTCGCGGTATACTGAGACACCACAGTATACCGCGAGCTGCTGCTCGCGGTATGCTGAGACGCTGAAGCGGATCCTGACAATTATACCAGGATCCGCCCAGCTGCGTGACTGACAGCTGGCTCTGCCTATCTAGAGGCAGAGACAGCTGTACCCGCCCCCGTCCGTTCCGCCAGTCAGCGCTGGCGGAGGGGGGAATCCAGCCCCTCCCCTGTCACGGCAGAGATCCGTGACAGGATTGAGAGGTTAGCGAACGCCGGTATGTGTTCGCTCGCCTCCCGATCTACTGAGCCGACCTGTGACAGTCTCATTGTCGCAGGTCGGCTAGAACTATGAGGTGATTGAAAAGCACTTGCCTCCTAGTTCTCCAAGTGACATTAAAGGCTGAAGTCCCCTGTCCCCCCACCACTGTGCTAAAGTAAGGATTTGCCTTGTAGGAGAACTATGAGGTGAGTGCTTTTCACTCGCCTCATAGTTCTAGCCGACCTGTGACAATGATACTGTCACAGGTCGGCTCAGTTGATCGGAGGTGAGTGAACACATACCGGCGTTCGCTCACCTCTCGATCCTGTCACGACTTTCTGCCGTGACAGGGGAGGGGCTTGATTCCCCTCTCCCCGCTCCGATCCGTCAGCGAGGACGGGGGCGGGTACAGCTGGCTCTGCCTCTAGATGGGCAGAGCCAGCTGTCGGTCACGCAGCTGGGCGGATCCCGGCACAATTGTCGGGATACGCTTCAGCTGCGGCGTCAGTATACCGCGAGCAGCAGCTCACGGTATACTGAGTCTAGTGTGACGGGAGGGCGCTAGTTTGTGTCCTCCCGTTCCCCTTAGGAGAACTATGGGGAAAAGCCTTAACCCCATAGTTCTCCTTTTTAATAATGCCTCTTAATACGATCTTCTTCTTTCCTGTAGTTTTAGCTGTCCCTCCAGTGCTGGTGCCGGTCTCCGATCCAGCGCTGACTCTTCACTCGTATCCCACGGAGTCTGTGCGAGTGCACGCTGCGCTATAGACTTACCTTCCGTCTTTCCTCATGTCCCGGCCGAACATCTAAACTGTGCATGCGCCCACCCCAAGATCCTTTGCGGCTGCCCGAAAAATTTTCAGATGTCCGGACGATGGCGCGTGGCGGAGACACAGGTAAGTATTAAGAAAAAACAAGAGGGGAAAAAAACAACTTTTTGGATAGTTTTGCATATATCTACTGCTTGCTAGCAGTAGATATATGCAAAAACAAATGAGGGTTTAATAACCCTTCAAGGTCCCAATTGTCAAAATGTTATACTTCACACCTTACCTGTGCTATTGTGCCGTTTATCATTGAATAGTAGTGTTTTGGGGATGGTGTATAGGTACACACACACTCTGCTTTTTGCTGTATTTTTAGGTTTCTCAACAGACTTTTTTTCTCTTTTTACATTCTGAGGAACATCACTTTGTGTGTGTGTGAACAAGCCCATGTACTTGCCGGGGATTCTATTTACCTACAGGTTGTTTTGTATTTTTGAATGAAAGGGACCCAAACTCATACTTGGTGCTCTAAGAGCATGACTGATCGTTTTCTACACTTCTGTTGCTTTGATAGATGGACATGATCTAAAGCTATTCCAAAGACAAGAACTGGAGCATTTCTTTCTTGTGTTTCCACTTTGCAGGACGTAAGAAGGCTCATTTCTTAGCACATGGTACTGATTTTGTGCTCCCATCCCCCATCAGCAAATCTTGTTTAGAAATGATTTGACCTGTGGATTTAGCTCTCTTTTAGGAGGGATATCCTGCAGTTCCTTATATATTTGGGGTTTAGTCTTAATGCTTTCTTTTTAGCATTATACTTGGTTACATTAAGCTTAAGTGTTTAGTGTTCAATTTAATGTGTTCTTGATGATATAAGTTTACTCTATAAAAGTCTTGTAAATCAGGTCACCCTCATTTCATGTCTGATTGATGATGAAAAATGTAATTGCAGTTTAATGTGGCTATGGACTCATGATTGGGTTTTCTGTGGCAGTATGGGGCTGCTATGTATTTGCCATGATAGGCTCACACCACAGAGGTTTGCATTGCACCACTATTGGGGATGTATCAGAAGTCTGATGACCAGAGAAGAGCAACAGTACAGGATGCAGAATCTTGTTCTTAAAGTAGACTTTGAATGTTGAGATATTAATCTATCCATATATTATGGTTTTATCTGCTGGTGTATGTCATTCCTTGGGCACTTCAACTTAAACCATCTCCTGTTTTGTCCAGTTCAACTATTGCCAACAAGTGAAAAATGTAGTAGTTCTAGGTATGGGAGGGTATCCCTCTCTATCCTTCCTTCCTTGATGCATGGTGGATACTAGGTGGCTAGTCTCCAGACCAAGTCATGTGCAGGGCTTAGGACTCTTCCTCCATGTGACAAGGGCTAAGGTCATTGCCTTGAAGCTTACACGAGGCTATATCACACTCAAAGTAGGTCATTATAAGTGGGGGGAGGTATGGTTGAGATGGGAATTCTCCCCACCAAAATCACTGTTCTATGTATATGTGTTCCATGTGTCAAAATAAAATGCATACACACATTTAGATAGAACCAATTGAAGCCAATGGTTTCTGGCCATCTTTTGGAGAATGTACCTTTTGTTACAGTGAATGACTGACTGTATAATCTGTTGTTGGGACATTGGCAGGATATTTGAGTTTGCTGTTACAGTTATTTCATTTATTCATTCAAGGTGGAACAAAGGTCACTTGGATCAGAGTATGTGCAGCAAAATGATTGGGGCACTTTGGCCTTGCCGCACTGGGGTCCGTGGATTTGATCCCGGTCAGGAGACGATCTGCATGGAGTTTGCATATTGGCTGCTGTCTAAATGTGGCATGTGTACGAGATAGTGATCTTAGATTGCAAGCTCCTTGAGGGCAGGGACTGATGTGATTGTGACCTATGTAAAGCACTTCATACATTTTATGCGCCGTATAAATAGGTAGAACATCCCCCCCCCCTTCCATGTTCTCCAAGTCTTCTTTCGAGTTTGGCATCTTGATTGGCCAACACGGGGGGATGATGCAACTCCCACACATGTGGACATGAGTTAATTCATTCCAGCACCAAGGTATGCTAATAATGTACTGGGCTGCGCAGGTAGATCAGATCAGAAGCGTGTATTGCAGAAGAGACCTGCAGAGTCCTTTCTGCAATGACTCATTACCGCCAGCAATAATTCTTTATAACACTAAAGTTTCATTTTATTTACAATTTCTACATTATCAGATGAAATATCATCCGTTATTCTGAATATTCTGTTATTTTTGTTTTTCTAGATCTGTTACCTCCGGGAGTGTGTAACCTCCTAAATTCATCTACCATCTATGCTAACAATGAAGTCTGTCTGAACGACATAGAAATCTATGGCTTTGACTATGATTACACATTGGCACTATACTCCAATGCTCTGCACTCCATGATCTTCGACACTGCCCGGAACTTCTTGGTAGAGCAGTACAAAGTAAGTCACTGATGTATGGCACATTGAATGGCCATAACAGCAGGGTTCTGACACCTGGGACCCTGCTGATGGCTACTTCTAAAGATGGGAGAAGGGTTTACTACTCTGTCTGTGAAAATGCCTTGAAATGTAATTATAACAGCGGACAAAAATCTGTTTCTCGTCATGCATATTGCCTACAGAGCCATAATTGGTTACTCGCCCATTAAATATACATAAGCTTACTACTGAGGGTTTTTTGTGCCTTTTCTGTAAGATTTCTAAAACTTGACATGCATATCTGTTTTGATGGAAGTAGAAGTAATAATAAAGTGCATTTAAAGCCAACATTCTTAGAATAGAGTATGAAAGGGTCAAGGACCTCCTGTACAATTTGAATTACTGTGTCCCCACTTTGAAGATTAAGCCTCTCTGTTCTATCTGGTGACCATATTCAGTGGGACCAAAAGTGATGGGAAATCTAAAATGTTTCAGTTGTCGCAGAGGAGAGGAGAGTTCAACCAGTGGGTAAACCTGTGCTGTTGACAACTCTCCAAAAGGGGATATCCCGTTTGATCTGCTCTTACTGCTTGCTGTCTCTATGGGATAGGAAAGGGAAACCTCGCCAACAATGCACGGATAGAAAAAAACAAAACAGGGATTTTAACCATTCCCTACTTCTATCTAGTGCTTGGATAATAAAAATGTTTTGGCTCTACATATTATTTTAATTGGTCATTGTTATGATGGATACACTTTGTGTTTTTACACACACACACACAAAAAAAGAAACGTGTACATGGAGCAACTCCTGTTCACTTTTCCCATTAGATTGCTAATAAATGTGATCAGTCATGAGCAATTAGACCGACCCTACCCATCTCCTATACAGCTTATGTCCGCTGGTCTCTTCATTGTTTCCTATGAAGCAGAACAACAAGGCATTGAGTAACTGTTGCTTGTCTCAAATAGTTTGCTAGAAGAGATGAATAGAAAGCAGTCTGTTATTTTCCAATTCGATTGAGAACTGACGTGTTTGCAGAATATAGTAAAAAATATTATAGTACAGTGAGCTATAGCTTACATTAGGATAGAGTCCGGTAGAAGAATGAAGTCAACTTTTTTTTTTTTTTTTCCCCCTAGTAACTGTAGAGACCCAGGAATAGAGCTGCAAGTCTGTTACACTCTGCATTTCCATTGCTTGTTGATGGCAACATGTATTGTAGACAGTTTCTCATTGCTATATGAATATAACCTTTTGTTCTTTGCTTCCTAGTACCCAGCAGGAATCCTGGAGTACGAGTATCTGCCCAACTTTGCTGTACGGGGCCTGCACTATGACATCAATAAGGTAATTGATGCCTATTGGCTTTTCATATGTAAAACTAAGATCTGCTTAAGTTGAATGGTGATCTGGATTTGGGGAATCCTTCAAACAATGATTATACTTCTTCGCATATGTCTTCTGCATGATTGCATTTAATTCAAGATTTTATTGGTTGTCGGCATTCTTGCAGAGATAAGATGATGACCATGCTTATTCTAGCATAACATTTGTTTTATTCGGATTCCTTGGAAAATAACAAAAGCAAGATGCCTGAATTTGCCTTATGTACATTATGGTTCTGGAGGTGTAACCTTAAGGTAGTCTTGCAGTTTAGGTAAATATGACGGTGACAGATCATACATTTACTTGACGTCTTAGAAAACGGCTGGTGCCCCTTGCAGTTTTATGCAAACAAAACTAATTAAATCAAATATTATTCTGACAGAAAATGTGCATTCCCCTCAGTAGGTTACCGCAGTAGCGAGAACTGCATTTGGCGAGGGGGCATATCTTATCCTCATACTAGGGAGGACAGGATTTTCCAGACAAGGGTGTTGTCGTAAGTCCTTGGAAAAGTAAAAGTCAATATACCCATCACACTCCTGACCACTTAATCCAAGAATGAGCAGGTGGGTACAGCAGTGGTTGACGGATAGCACAGTCACAAGCACATGATGTGAATAGAACACTGGCACTCCAGTTACAGATATGATGCATCTTTATTGACTTGGATGCGATATAGCACACAAGTGCAACGTTTCGGAGTTGCACAGGATCCCCTTCCTTAGACAAGATGTGATATAGTGCAAGTGAAATCACACAACTACATTTATGTGTGATTTCACTTGCACTGTATCACATGTCTTGCCTGAAGAAGGGGATCCTGTGTGACCCCCCGAAATGTTGCACTTGTATGATATGTTGTATTCACGTCAATAAAGGATCATCATATCTGTAATTGGAGTGCCCTATGTTCTATTCATATCTTGAAACCGTGAAGGAACCTCTTGTTTGGCAGCAACTTTAGTGATCCTACATGTTTGGGCCTACTGTCATTTCGGTACTTCTGGCACAAGTGACCCAATCTGCAGAAGATGGGGAAATATTTAAGGTTCGGTTATATAGGTCCTTGATACATATTATTTATTATTATTATACAGGATTTATATAGCGCCAACAGGTTGTGCAGCGCTTTACAATATAAGGAAGACATTACAATCGCAATAAAATTCAAGACAAGGTGGTAAGGAGGGCCCTGCCCGTGAGAGCTTACCAGGGGTGCCACAAAATGTATACACATTTTAAGAGAGGTTCTTTATGTATAACTTTTTGAAGTTTAATTAAATTATGGTAGCAATGTGTAGTATGACATTCGCTCCATAAATGGCGTTAATCAAATGAATGCTAGCGTCACCATGTGACAGGCAAGACAGTCAAAGGAAATGGCAGAAGCACGGTTGTCATTTTGAGGAGCGCAAGACAATTTTTAAGTGGTGTTTGAAATCCGAGAACGTTGTGGAAGTACGACAACAATGGAGGGATAAGTATGCAACAGAACCTCCAACACGCCTGACCATTGCATGCATTCGTGACGAATTTGAGACGCATAGTACTGTGATGTGCACAAGGGAAGATCCGGGACACTTCACACAACAAGTAGTCCTGCTTCTTCTGCTGTGGTGTTAGCAGAACAAGCATTGTTTAAACCGCAAAATGGAAAGTTTTCTTCCCAAGGTTATTACATGCACTGAATGGGAATTATCGATTTTACTTCCAACGAGATGGCGCCCCACCGCACTTTCACCAAGACGTGATAGCTTACTTCGATGAGAATTTGCCAGGACAATGGATAGAACCTAGAGTTGTGGTTTGAGTTTCCCCCACGTTCTCCTGACTTAACACCCCTTGACTTCTACCTATGGGGGACCATAAAGGATGTGGTGTACCATAGAAAACCGGGAAGCAATTGAAATGGCATGCCAACGATACAAGTGGACACTTTTTTTGATATTAATATATATGGAGTATCAATTTTATGTTTTCCTTTCTTAAAATGTGTATACATTTTTTGGCACCCTCTGTATTATGCAGAGAAAGAATGTGAAATCCATATCAGGTTAGAAGACTGTTCATCCCCCTGTCTAGTCTTGGTTTGTACCAAGAATCTCATGCCGATCTGGGGGAGAACATACTTTATGCAGATTGTGTTTCTGGGAACTAAATCTAAAACCCCCAACCCTTCAACTGCCAAACCCAATTCTGCCCATTCTGACACATTCCTATTCCCCCGTACACGTTTTCCCAGTCAACTGCTTCTGTTCCCCCTGTTTTAATGCTTTGTAGATTTATGCACTTATCTGAATAAATGCCTTATTATGCCTCATCAGAGACAAACTAGAGTCTTCCTGTTTTCCTGTATTTTGTGATAAACATTTTGTTTCTTCTGAATTCATTTTAAACATTCTGACATTGATTTTCTTCCACTTAGGGCCTCCTGATGAAGATAGATGCGTATCATTACATAGAACTGGGCACAGCATACAGGTAGGTTGAACAATGGACCACTTCTATGACCTAACCTCTCATAAAAGGACAGCACTACTGGAAATATTCCTCGTCTTGGGCTGGGCACACACCTTACAACCATCGCAAGACAAAAGTCTTGCGATGGTTGTAAGGTGTGAGTAAGTTCAAAGTCGTGCGACCTTACAGTAGTAGAGGTCGCATGGCTTCCACACACCTTACCATAATCGTACGATCGCGCGATTATCGTACGATTATCGTAAGGTGTGTGGGGACCTTTGGTCTTGGAACCACTTGAATCCACACGTGGATGTTGTGTTCCCATCAGTTGAAGTAAACCGATAATCTATTATTAATGACTGACTGCAGACCCCCAAAACGCCACATATAGGACAGCACCCTCCTTAACCAGTATGATACTGGTGTTCCCCTCCCCCAAAATCCTGTGCTGTCCCACAAAGTTATTTTCATATTTTTAGGCATGACCCCCTTCCCTCTGGTTACTGTGCTAAGCAATGTATTTAGTGAACTGAGTACTCCATTGTGGGAGAGTGCGCAGACTTGACCCATACCCCAAGTTTGGCTTTATTTTTTTTGGGGGGGGGGGGGGGGGGGGTTAG